TTGCGAAGGGTGCGGGTTCGAGTCCCGTCTGCTGCCTGGTCCGCGTGGAATTTTTTTCTAGTTATATTTTCTTTAGATTTAAACATCAAGCAGTTACATGCTTTAAAAATAATAAAAATTATAACTATAATTGCTATTTCTTCTTTCAAATGTTTAATACTTGTAAAAGTATTCATTTGACATTGTGGGTTTACCTATAATGCGAAGAGATGGCGCTGCCTTGCAGCTTAAGAATAGCTAGAGAGAATTTCGACGCGGTCCGTGAGGGCCGCGGTAGCATAATTGGTCAGTGCATTCGCCCGGATTGCGAAGGGTGCGGGTTCGAGTCCCGTCTGCTGCCTGGTCCACGTGGAATTTTTTTCTAGTTATATTTTCTTTAGATTTAAACATCAAGCAGTTACATGCTTTAAAAATAATAAAAATTATAATAATCTGTAATTTAAATAATAAATAAATATTATTCAGTGGTTATACTTGATTTTTTTTCCTGGGTAGATATCTAAAGTATACATAAGAATTATTGAAAAATGTATCGTTTGACAAATTAAAATTTGAGGAACTCGTCGAATAGCCTATTGACCTTACGCAATACTTTTCTAAAAATGTGGCATTGAAAATGGTGCTTTATTTAAAAACATATTTTGTTTCTTCTTCTTCTTCTAGTGCCTCTCCGAACTGCGAAGGTTGGCAGTCAGCTTAGCATATGTCTCCTTATCCTTAGCGAGATGGAATAATTCAGCGGCGCTCGAGATTCCAGTCCATTCTCGTAGGCTCCTCAACCAAGACTTCTTCCTGCGACCGACACCTCATTTTCCAGCAACTTTGCCCATCATTATTAATTGTAAAAGGGCGTACCTTTCGTGTCTCATCACGTGCCCTAGATACGCAACCTTCCTCACTCTGATGGTATCCCAAAGTTCGCGTTTCTTGCCGACACGTCGCAAGATTTCATCATTTGTTACCATTTGAGTCCAACTAACTTTCAACATTCGTCTCTAAGCCCACATTTCGAATGCTTCTATACGTTTTCTGAGCTCTATTTTAATAGTCCAAGACTCGCATCCGTATAGAAGTATTGGCCAGACATAGCAATGCAGAAGCCGAGTACGGAGTGAAATGTGAAGACCACGGTTAGTAAGCACTTTTTTCATAGTATTGAAGGCACTACGGGCGACTTCAATGCGGGTTTTTATTTCAGTGTCACAATTCCAGTCTTCAGTCAGCCAGGTGCCTAAATATTTGTACTTGGTGTTTTTTTCTATCGGGTGTGACCCGATATTCTAACCGTAGTATTCAGGTCGACGTCACGGGACATAACCAAGAGCTTGGTTTTGTTGATGTTCATCTTCAAGCCAGCTTTCTCACTCAACCCATTCACACGCTCGACAATCCTCTGTAGCTCTGTCACCGATGAAGCTATAAGTACTGTGTCATCGGCATAACGAAGGTTATTGATTATAATACCACAGTTGATATCCTCAAGCGCTTCAGCCATAATAGCCTCTGAGTAAAGATTAAACAACATAGGGGACAAGATGCAACCCTGTCTAACTCCTCTTTGGATATCTAGCTCTTTGAAGTCTGTTCCCTCAACTCGAATTGTAGCACGCTGGTTCCAATAAAGATTCTGAATTATTCTTATGTCTTTATCATCAAGGCCAATGTCTCTCTGAAGTGCGATAAGTCTATTGTGTTCAACTCTATCAAATGCCTTTTCGTAATCGACAAAGCACATGAACACATCCTGCTTCATGTCTCTACATTTTTGAACCAGAACATGCATCGCGATAAGAGCCTCCCTAGTACCCACACCGGAACGAAACCCAAACTGACTATCAGCCAGTTGCTCATCACACTTCTTCCTAATACGTTCATGTATGACACTAAGAAACAGTTTTAGAACATGGCTCATGAGACTGATTGTCCTAAACTCTTCACACCTTTTGGCATTTCTTTTCTTAGGAAGAGTGACGAAGGTAGAAATTAGCCAGTCGTTTGGAAAATGGCCTGTGTCATACACGAGATGAGGTGAACAATGGCTTCGAGATGCTCGTCTTCAATCATCTTGAGTATTTTCGTGTGTATATTGTCAGGTCCTGCTGATTTGCCGGCCTTAGCCCAAGCAAAGCTTTTCGCACCTCATCTTTTAAAATTGGTAAGCCAGTATCCACTTCATTACATTGAGCCCACCGACTTCTTGAACCATCAGAAAACATAGATGATACATACTCTTCCCATAGCTCATTTTTTTTTGTTAAGTCTATTATGGGTAGGTCATTTTGATCCACAAGGTGTTGTTGCAGGGTTGTTTTGCGGCCTACCATACTTCGGATCTCCTTATGCAGATTGAATGAGTCGTGTTTGGCATGAAGTGCTTCTACGTGTTCACATTTTGTTTTGTACCACAAACTACGAGCGAATCTGACTTCTCTGCGCACTTCGTTATCCAGCTGTTTATATTTAGTGCTATCTGTGTGTTTACAGAGTCTTCTTTCCTCCATTTTTCGGTATATTTTGACAGTCATCCAAGTCTGCTTAGGAGCCCAATGTTCTTGTTGTAGACGTTCTCTATTCAGCGTTTCGATTCTTGATTTTAATCGCGACCAGGCTTCATCTTCGGTTTGTGACGGCTCATGCTTCTCTGCAAGTGCCCATTCATTTATATTATTGGATATCTTAGATCTTATATCAGAACGGCCTATTTTTCTTATGTCCACTCGGTTTGTATGAGGTTTTTTCTCGTTTATCTTTTTAAGAGTACATGTGAACGATACCACAACTGGGTTATGATCAGATCTTATATCAGAACCTGGGTATGTTTTGACACTTTTAATGCAGTTTTTAAAGCGGCTGTTGATCATAATAAAGTCAATCTGATTACGCATGATGCGGTCAGGGGTATGACGTGGCGATGTCCATGTGTACAGTCTTCGTGGCGGTAACTGAAAAAGGGTATTAGTGATTAGTAGTTCATGTTCTTGACAGAATTGCACAAGAGTATCACCTCTTTCGTTTCTTACACCTAATCCATGTTTACCCACAACATCTGCCACTTCTCCCATGCCAACTTTTGCATTCATATCGCCCATCACAAGATTGATTTCGTGACTTTTAGTTATGGAAAATAGTTGTTCTATCTCTTCATAAAAACTTTTAATTTCTTGATCATTGGCGTCTGATGTAGGAGCATACACTTGAATAATGTTTATATTTTTTGGTTTGGCCTGTATCAGCAGCAGCATAGAGCGATTTGACTTAGACACAAAACTGACACTTATTTTAACCATTTTTGTATTTATCATTACTCCTACACCATGTTTATTGGACGACTCACATGACTCAGAGTAATACAAAACATAGTCGCTATCTATTCTTTTGGTGCCACTGTCCTTCCACCTGACATCACTCAGCCCCATTACATCTATGGCCATCCGTTTCATCTCCTTACATAAGTTATGAACCTTTTCTGGACTCTTGAGACTTCTAACGTTCCAAGTTGCTATTTTTAAATTATTTTGTGTTTTCCACCCGGGGATTCTTCGCACCCCTGTCTTATTGAAAAGACGCCGGGTACTCGGGGCCAATTCCATTTTTGACACTTCCATGTAAATATGTTTAGCCGACAGACTAGGGAATATATAATGCAGTGGTTTCCAGTTGCCTTCTGCACCAGTCTTTTAGGGGTGATTTAGTATCCTGGAGCCCCATCTGATTAGTTGCCTAACCAGGTGTATGGGTATACCGCCATTGCTCGGTCATCAGAGCCTCGTCCGTTATCTAGCAGGGAGTACCACGTCGTCCTGAAAAGGACGCCGTCATCGACCATTCACACGAACCGCCGACGCGTGCAGGTGAGGTGACAATAGGGTCGGTTATGATGTTAGTTACCGGTCCCCTCTTACTCCCCAATCATTTAATAGTGGTCAATGTTGGATAAAAAACAGATGCAATACATATAGCGACATATTTAATAAGCTCGGCAGGTCTTTTAAAGATTTTAATATTTTTTTGGACTTTCAAGCTAATGATATAGAATTGAAAATTAGAAGGTTCCTTCTTAAGGTCGGAAGGTCTTATCAATGAAATAACTGTTTGGGCACACTACTAGAACGAGACACACTCCACTAATTCAGCTTTGCTCTTCGGAACGATTTTGAGGGTCGCGTAAGCATTCCAGTTAGTATATAAGACTTGGCAGTATGGCTTAGTACCTTCGCCTGGCCCAATGGACGAAGGTTGTATTCCGAAATATACACCGGTATACTGGCCAGTGGTAATGACGTCACGAATTCGACGACGCCATATTGTACCATATTTTTACCCGGGAAAACGGATATGACGTATGACCGAGCGTGCGTGAGATGCATTCGAATTTTATTACTTTTTTATTTAAATTAATGGCTTCCGAACAAAAAGAATTCCTTTTAATTTATAAGGTGATTAAAAAATCTTATTTATTCGCACTATTTTTAATATTTCGTCAGTGCACTGGCCAATATATTTAGGAACAATTCACCAGTATAGCGTCGATTCATGACGTCATTCGCACTGGCCAGTATGCTGGTATATATTACGGAATACACCCGAAATTATACTACTACTACTGGGAGTTTTTGGTGGGATTTCATCCAGTGCGATTGGCGTCTTATTTTAATTATTCTTAAATTTGTTCATAGTGGATATTGTGAAATAAAATTGGTGTGATTTTGTGTTACAACCGTCTGCGCAACTGAAGAATTAGTGGAATCTTTAAAATATACGCTATTCCGGTCAAGTGGACGTGAGAACTTTATTGTAGTATTGACTACCTCACAGAAGCTTATCGATAAAGCCAATTCGATATATTTAGTGCCAACACTCCAAGAAAGATTAGAATGCGTCACACCCACATACTAATGTAAAAAAAGGAAGATTAGTATAAAAATAAGTCGATGGCTGCATGGCTTTGCCTTTGCCTTTCTCAATAGAGAAGAATAGAACTTAAAAAAAAACTACTACTACGGTGACTGACAGTAGTTTGTAGGTAGTGACAAGGTGGCATGAAGCATCAACTTTACTTTGGAACTTGTTTAAAAAAGTTTTTATTATATTAAAAACCCATTACTTCATAGCTGCGAAGGTGAAAAATCATAGTCATAACTTGTATTGTTAGTATTTAACAGAATTTGAGTCTTGTCCTTTTAAATACTTTATTAAATTCATAATGTCAGCAAAAGGGGACAGTGTCCCCAAAAGTAAATCTGTAATTTGGGCTTACGTGTTATGGTTATTTGGTGGCATATTCGGTGTGCATCATTTTTACTTACGAAGAGATCGACATGCGTTTGTTTGGTGGACAACGCTCGGAGGATTTGGAATCGGATGGCTTGGCGAGATATTTCGAATTCCTCGATACGTACGTGACGCCAACGAAGATCCCGATCACATGAAAGAACTGATGGCAAGAATGGCCCAGAATAAAAAGGTATATTAAAAATATATTACTTTTATTATAGCTTTTAGACTGGAATGTACTACACATGTAACTGTTTCACACACTTCTCACTCTTTCTACATTGTATGGATTTATTACATGTGTACGACTTAAAATTTGCTATTCTGTTAAGGAAATGTATGTATAGTAAACTGTATTAAATGAAGACATCTGGATATAATTTGACAAATTAATATTAGCTGGATGAACCTTATGATTTTTTATTATAGTTAGGAACTTTGATAACTACTTAATTTACTCTTTATTGCATCATATAATTCAAAACAAAGTCAAATACATAGTTAGCAAAGATGGGCTTATCTCTAAAAGAGATCTCTTCCAGCTAACCTAGGTGGTGTAGAAGATTCCAAACTTAGCAGGAAACAGAAAGTGTAATAAAAATTAAACTAAAATTAATTTATTACTACTATATATATTATAAATTATATATATATTTATATATATTACATAATACATATACAGTAGGATCTCGCTAATCCAGATAGGGAAAAACAAGACCCCTTCCGAATTATCGAGGCATCCAGATTATAGTATGCAATTTTTTAATAGGAATTAAATACATTTTAACTCAGGTTTCATATAGTGAAAATTTTAAGGAAAAATAGACAAGAATTCAGATATGTACCTAAGAAATTTGCGCACTACACATGAAATAAAAAAGTAACAGTAAGTTTTTAAAAACGTCGGTATAATATCCCACCCGCGATCATCTCGCCTGTCCGGATTACAGCGCGCACCGAAGTAACGGAGGTCCGGATAAGCGAGACTCTACTGTACCTACATAAATACAATACCTATTCATATATACTATCCAAATATATATACATATAAGCCTGATAAATAAATACTAATATACAAACAAGATACTTCATGACGAAGATTCATTAAATTTGAGATTTCTGTTTGAGAAAATGACTAACTTTAGATTTAAACGAGAAGATGGTCTGACATTCCTGAATATTGGACGGAAGCTTATTCCACTGCTGTGCAGCCCTAAAGGAAAAGGAGTTCAAATAGGAGATGGTATTACTTTTAGGAATTTCAAGCATCTTAATAATGCAAGGTCGCCTAGAGCGCGAAGGAGGGGGAAGAATCTTAAAACCGGAATGTAGGTAGGTATATGTAGGAACGGGGAAGTTAGAATCTTTGAGAATCTTGAATAAGAAGAAAAGCATATGCAAATCCCAGCGAAGGCGAATAGGGAGCCATTTGCACCCCTCGCATGTTGATGGATTCTAATGAAGATAAAGTATGCACTTTTTTAATAAAGCTAAAGTCAAGTAGTATGCCTGGATCTGACAGCATACCAACTAACTTTCTCAAACTTGCTAAAGATGGTATGATTCCTGTTATCACACACCTTGCTATCCTCTGCTTCTCCCAAGGTGTATTTTCGCCTAAATTGATAGAAGCTCTAATAGCACCTGTGTACAAGGGTGGAGATAGGAACAATGTAAGTAACTACAGACCGTATTTCTGTTTTACCCGCTATCTCGTAAATGTAGAAAAGCTTATAAATACAAGACTGTTGAGCTATCTAGAGAAATACAATATCTTATCAGACTCTCAATATGGTTTTAAAGCAGGTAAATCCACAGCAGATGCTATAGTCTGATACATAAATAGTAGTGGATAATCTAGACAATAAACGCAATTGTCTTGTAGTCTTTCTAGATATGAAAAAGGGATTTGACACTGTTTTTTATCCCCATCCCTGTTCATAAACTAGAGATTATCTGATTGATAGGACACAAGAGGAAAAAATGTGGGTGAAAAAAGGTGAGTGGAGAGTCAGTGGCTGTGGTTTACAGCGTTCCTTAAGGAAGTGTTCTGGGACTGTTAATCAGTGTAAGAAGATTCTAACGGACTGATTAAAGGGGCTGGATTATGAACAGACAGAAAAAATATTGCACCAATTAAGTATATAATATGTAAATGTATATATATTATATGTACATATAGATAATGCTAATAATAATGATATAATATATAAATTTACCCTGTGAATAATAATACCCCCTATCACATGCGTTTACTAACTGCCATGCACGCACGCACGCACGCACGCACGCACGCACGCACGCACGCACGCACGCACGCACGCACGCACGCACGCACGCACGCACGCACGCACGCACGCACGCACGCACGCACGCACGCACGCACGCACGCACGCACGCACGCACGCACGCACGCACGCACGCACGCACGCACGCACGCCCGCACGCACGCACACACACACACACACACACACACATGCAAGTGAAAGTAGTATATTTCATATTTAGTTCTTGTTCTATTCTTATTTAATACAGGTATCTCTAATACAGGCAATTAGTAGTTTACATAACTTAAAAGAAGAAGACTCACACCATGTAAACTTTGGTGTAAAAAGAATAATAAAGATTTAGTATTTGTATAATGTTAATATAATGAATGACCTTACCATAATGTAACTCATGTTATGGAAAAGTGGTTCTTTTTGGTACAGGTGTCTTTTCACTTAAAAAAGAAGCCTATCTTTATCTATGTAACCTGATGCATGGTAAAGAAATAAAACAATTTAAAAAATCCTGAAGAGAGGGGTGTCAAAATTCAAAGCATATATTAATTGAAGTAATGGCGTTTAAAAGACATTACAACATTACAAACTATGTTCTGTGGAATTGAGGGCATGTCACTGTTTTATTATAATTACTAGACTATGAGCTGACTTCAAGTTACAATTAGCTAAAATTAGGTTTTTAATATTGAAACAATGTAATGACAATTCATTTGCAATATTAATGTTTCCAATAGAGATTTTTCCAAACTGAAAGTTATGTTTTTAGCAGCAGTGTTTTTGAAACATTAACTACTTGCTTTTCTGCCAACGAAGTGAAGAATGCAGTAAGAACTCTGACATAATTTTGGCTTGTAAGGTTAAATCTTTAAACGCAATTTGCTCATAATCATGTCAGAGCTCTTACTGCATTCTTCAATAGGACAGCAGTATTCTAATGCAATCTTTAAATTTACATTGCTCCACATTTTGATACTATAAATAACATACATAATTAAATAGGCCTTTATATTTTTAAATGTTGTAAAGACAATAGATTTTCCCGTGCCCATAATAATTGATTCTCAAAATATGCAGCAGACCAAATAAGTTTCAAAATATCTGCTTTATACTAAATTAAATATATGTCATTTTCTTCTAGCCTCCATTCTCTATGAATCGTTTCACTGGTATGCTGATGGTTGGCTACTCTTGGGGTCAGATGATGATGTATGCCGTGCCACCTGATGAGTTGTGGGGAATAAATTTCAGATACCTCAATCACCTGATACCTCTTGCTGCAGCTCTGGGTAACTTTTGTCTATTGAAAACGAATCTGATAGTTTTTATGTAGACTGAATTAAAATATAAATTATTTAAAGATTTCTTGTTAATAAAATAAATAAGGTCAGAAAATATTTAACAGATTATTGAGGTCAAAGATAAATAGATTTTATTCTATTTATCTTTACCCTCAAGAATTTTTATTAATAGAAATATTAATGTCATATTTTCTTTGAAACAGGTGTGTGGACTGTAGGCAATATAGGGAGAGAAAAGGGTAGCCTCAAGTGGCCTCTGGTAGCAGCATATGTGTCATACCGCATCCGATATTACATTTATGATGAAACTATTTGGTTTACACTTATGGTGCTGGCAGCAGCACTTGTGTTTGACACCTTCTCAAAGGAGTGGCGCAAGCCTCCAGAAAAGAAACGACATGTGATCAAGTAAGTAATTTTTATTAGATGAAGAATATCATTTTGAATTTGACTGTGTGCATCTTATAGTTCTATTGTATAACATCACTATTTCAGCTAAAATTAACCATTCCATCCCTTCACATTTGTAGAGGTTCAAAACAATTGATTATGTGGAAGAAATTGCATTGTAGTTTACATTACATTCTTAGAAATACAAACACTTTGTGTATTATCTGTACAATGTGCTCCCATTTTTAAAAGTTTTATGTTTACTAATCTCTTGTAGTTGTTATATGCAGGCCAATATAATTGGAACCTATTATAATTCCTGGGCTATTGTATATTGTGGTGTGGCTATTGTTTGTTCAGGATTAGAGTATTATTGAGATGAGGGATAATCACATATATTTAATGTCATTAAAGTCACAGCCATTACAAATCTTTAACCACATACTTACTACAACACAGGTTTCACAGTGTTTAAACTATGAAATTTCTAATTCAACAGGAGAGTTGCCATCTTATCAGTATGTGCTTGCTTGTACTTGTCTCTCTGGGTGAGCTACTTGTATTTTCATGGCAACATTACAGACAGTGATGGCAACGAAGTTCCAATTTATGAAGCTTTGGAGCACTTCTTCAGTAGTCCATGGTAAGTGTTATTTCTAAAACATCAGCAAATTTATTTGATTATTTGTTAGGGAGAATGGGCCATAAACTGTTAAAATGGAATCCTCTTCTGCCTTCAAGTTCTTTTATAAAAACATTGGCAGAAGATTGAGATCAAGTGCGTAGCATTTTAGAATATGCAAGTCCCATCTGGTCACCCCTTTTCAAACTGCACTCGGAAAGATTAGAGCATATTCAAAAAAGGTTTATAAAGCATCTAGATTACAGACTGCGAGTTAATTCAAACTCCTATTTAGATAGTTGTCGCCAGTATGCTATTTTGACATTAGATGAAAGAAGAACGGTTTTAGACATGAATCTGTTACACGATATAATAAACGGTAGGTTGGACTGTCCGGATCTGTTGGCGAGGATGGGACTGAGCGCGCCGCTTCTACGAACTCGACATACCCCTCTACTTCATGTTCCGTTTCACCCAACCAACTACGGAAAAAACTCGGTTCTTTCGCGTTTGTGCCAAACATACAATGATAAGTTTTCAAAAATCGATCTTTTTGCTTACTCCAAAATTTCATTTAAATCCAGAATTATTGATAACATTCTCGGCGACACTGTAGCATTGGTACGTGGTTGTTTATGCATAAAATATCTGTCTTATTATTTTATATTTGTTCTTGAGTGATTATCATTATGTAATTTTTATTTTTTACTTAGCAGCATGATTTAATTTTAAATCTTGAAAACACTTTAGGTGGTTGTGTGCAGTTATGCAGGGTGGGATATAATATAGTAAAATGTTTAGCATTTCGTGGTCAATTAACTGTAAACATTTGTTTTCATAGATACCCATATCGTTTGGAAGGCATTTTGTTGAGTTATAGAAGCTGAAATAGATTTGCTTTCAGTATTGTTTCCATCAGTATGGATTTCACCTAGCTTAAGGCAGTTGAATGTTTCTGACCGTAAACACAATATACTGTAAATTAATTTATGGAAAATCTGTAATTAGCCTTACTGTTGGTTTACACTATACTTAAATACTTTTGTAAACGCCGTTGATTATCAAATAATAAAAAAAAAAATCAATACTGTTTTTTAGGTGGCTGGATGCGAAGCAGTGCCTCTATGACACTTACCGATATGCGCAGCACCATGGCTGGTATGAGGTGTGGAAACAAATTATAGAACTTTCTGATCCTCATGGCGAACAAAATGCTTATAAGGTAAGTTAAGAAATCCCAGTGAAATGAAACAATGTACAACTTTTTAACGTAGCCCCGTTAAAAAGTTGTAATAAATAGTTACATCCCTCAATATAAGTTTGAGGTCAGGAGAAGGAACAGCGGGAACGGACCATGATCTTCCACGCGAGCGTAATGTGGATTGGTAGGTGCTAACGAATGTAGATACTGCCGAGACCACCGGCTTCATTTGCGTTCTGAAGGACAGAGAAGCTCAAGTTATAAAAGTTACATTCATCATTTGATCAGACATTGCGTAAGTTGCTTAACTTTTACAATAGCAGACTAAAGGCGCTAACCACTGCGCCACTATATACCAAATTTGTGTGAATTGCCCAATTTCAACATCATCATCATCATTCCATTATATGGCGTTCACTGCTGAGCATACGCCTCCTCCGAAAGATCTCCACGAATAGTCCAATTAATCCTACTAATATAAATGTGAAATTTTGTATGTTGTTAGTCCATCACGCAAAATTGCTGAACGGATTTGAGTTAAATTTGGTACACACATAGTTTACTACCTGGATTGAGACTCTTTATCAACATAAAATGATAGTTTCCTGAAGGATTCTCATAAAACTAATATTTACGCGGACGCCGCTAGTTTTTTTTTAAAATATAACTTTTAGTTATTTAATATTTTTTTTTACTGCCAAGGTCCTTGGGCTAGGGCCAGAGGCTAGCCAGCAAGAGATAACTTCTAGGTGGCGTCGCCTATCCCGCGAGAACCATCCGGATAAGGTGAAAGAAGAATCCCTTCGGAGGGCGGCACAGGAACGCTTCATGGAGATTCAGCAAGCCTACGAAATACTGTCCAACAGCAAACACAGGTAAGCACCCAAATATGGAACACTACCTTTTAATTTAAGCGGGGTAGGGATAAACTAGGTAATTAATTGGTATGCCATTGTAAAATAAACAGTTACGCCGCAAAGTAATTATTTGGGCAAACTACACTAAACTTTAAACTATTGGTTTAGATTTGATATAATGCTATTGTCAATTTTACGGAGGGTTAGCAGGAGGTAATGGAAGATTTTGGTTATATCTATAAAATGTTACAACTCCTACGACGAACTTTTGATGTGGTGAAAAATATTATCCGTCATACTATAGGTATACGTATAATACAAGACATAACTATTCTGTAAGCGCAAACACTCGTACGACTAATTTCGTTTAACGTTGCAGGAGGAATCGTCGCAACAAAAAGGATAACTCCGACAAACAGCAGCCAACTCCAAAGCACGAAGAAATGTAGACGTAGTGAGTTGTAACACTGTAAAATACCCGAACTTGTTTTCGATACATTTGCAACGTGTCTTAAAAACCTTACGAGTGTAGTTGACTTTGTAATATTTACCTTATTTTGTACGAACCGTGTTTGCTCAACTGCCATCTGTCCATTAAAATATTGTAATGTAGTATCGAAACTAATTAAAGTGGTTAAATTTTGTCTGGAGATGACGCACCGTATTGTCACTCGTGAAAATTACTTAACTACAAAATTAGATGGATACTACTGTATTTCTCCATTTCTTTTTAAATCATTCTACTTCACAACAATCCAATTTTTGACAAAAAAATAATATTATATGAAAGCTTTAAGGTCATCGCACATTAGAACCACCTGGTATCCGACTAGCACTAACTCGCCTTGTTATTATTTATATTAACATTTATGAAAATGAGTTTTCTATGTCAACTCTGGATCCTTTGGCTCACATTTATTTATATATTTCTCTTTTTATAGAGAGTTGTCAATTTCACAAGGGAGTCGTTCAGTCCATTTTTTATATCATTATAACTAATTATTGTTATTGTTTACCTTCAAATGTGCGATTAATAAAACGATTTAATAAAGGTATGTATTAGAAGAAAATTGTTACCTTAGGAATTTTATTATCACAGCTTGCATGCTAATCTTGTCGATAGCGAGTGGCCCTTGAAAATCGGGATGGTACTGAGTCCATACTATGAACTCTTTAGAGCCATGAAAAACAGCCGTTAAAGTGAAATACCGCTCTACTCTACGTATGTGATGTCTCGCTTTACCAACTACAGAAATTACCTCTCGTTTTGATTTATAATACGCCATTTAGCTCTACTGAGCGATGACCTTAAACTAGGTAACATGTGGTTGTAATATTCTGTAACTGTTTGGAAGTATCATAAAATATTTGGATCTGACACATAAGTTCTTCTATTTATATTGCGTAACTTTAGAACAATAACTTAAAGGTACACGTATTGATATTCACCATTTAGGGGTGAAGAAACACCTCAACTATATTTATTAATTAATCTTTGATGCATTTATTCAATACACATACCAAAATGTTATATTTATAATTTATTTATGTCAAAGTAGATAATAAGAAGATTAATATAATTATGTTCCGTATGATTGATTAAAACCTTAGACTAAATGAACGTTGAGGGGTTGCTTTCCCGTGACGTATAATTCATTATATTTACCTCAGTGTACGATTCGATTCGAATTCCTACGAAGCTGTTGGTAATAGTACTTCTTAAGACAGTGAAACACAATACTCGAAATGTTATTTCAATACGCCCATCATAAGGACTATTACAAATACATTTTTTTTATCTATTTAATTACTTTACCTATATATGTACAGATGTTATGTTTAACTGTATGTGTTCAATTGCACTACTGTGGCCAAATCAATTTATAAACATGCACGGGAAAAAATCCTTTTGTCAATCAACCAAAAAATACACAGAGCAAGCGCATGAAAGTTTGGGAGCAGGGGCTCGTGACTTCACTAAGTAAAAATTGTATCAAGCCATGACGTCATGCGACAGTTTAAATCAATATATCTCTGTAACGTTTTGATTTTGTGAATTAAGAAAAAATGCGTGTCTTATTCTATATGATAACCTACTTGATAGACGAAAAATAAATATTCATCATTCCCATTGTGCACGGCACCACAGAGCCTTCCTTTGATCTGATTAGTATACGATCGAAAAGCAGCGTTAAAAGCGAAATGCCCATTAAATTGCAATGTCTTATACTGTAACAACCAAAATTAAGGCTTATTCGTGCTATTGCAAGGCCCTTGGACCGAGAATTTATAATTATGTGTACTTACTATAACAGTATTTATTTATTTATCTCAATTTATTAAATAAGTTAATGTTTGAGATATTTTCTTGGCAATACTATCTCACTAAGTGTTGTGAATAAATTGTTGCTACCTTTTTATACGGAGTCTTCCAATCTTTATATACTTCATGTTTATTATGTTAATTCGTATTTTAGGTATACTTTATTCTATTTAACAACGAATATAAATGTAAATTTATGCCGTCACCTTAATAAGCAAACTTTTAGTAGAATAACAAGACGAGTACGAACGTTAAATTAAAACAGAGTATGTAATTCGGTATTCAAATTAAGTAATATCGCGTAATGTGATCGATTTCGAATAGTTTGCGAGTCCGAAATTAGAATTCGTACTAAGGGTACTGTAACCTTAGCACGAACCAATATCGAATTCGAATAGTTTGCAAGTGCGTAATGACAATGCCACATTCTTTATGGAAACTTGAACAGCAGCGCCACAATTGAAGTAATGAGAACTAAAAATCAGTACCATTTGACGTATAAAATAGATCGTATTCAACCGTGCGAATTCGATAATGGTTCGTGCTACTAGGGTACTAATATGACATTTACTTGCTTTCATTATAAGTTATGGCAGCGAATTGTTCATAAATTATCTGATCCTCTTTCCCTCATTAGCTCAAAAATCATATCTAAATACAGTTTCATTTCGTCAGGCCCTTCTATTTATCTTATATTTTGAATATAAGTAGGTTGGTGTCCATTTTTCTAACGCAGTTAATTTAATTTTTCTTTTTTCAATTATAACACCAGACGTGAGTCTGGTGGAAAGTGTGACTCCGACGAAGATGGAGCACGCTTCCCTAGAAAAAAGACAAAGTCAACTCAAATTGGAAGCTTAATACTACTATTTTGTATCGTTCACAGTTTTCCCCCTACAAGAAACGAACTATTCATTATCCACACGCGATTAAAATAGATCAAGAATATATGTATCAGGGAACAGAGAAGCCTGCAGTAAATTCCTATGAGCTATAACGCAATGAAAAGGGTAAAATCAGAGCGCTTGATACGTGCCCATGGGTTATTTGCAAATATTTTTTTCTGCTTTTTAATGAAAAAGACAATAATTAAACTAGTAATAAGATTTCTAGTTGTTTATCAAGGTGACAGATAGAAGCATTTAAGTCTTTTAAGACTGTTTTTTATGTGTCCTTATTTTGTTTATAATAATATTTTTTTATTATAACGGATAATACTGTCCATTTATATGTACTTATTTAACAATGACTATAGTCTGCTAGTAACTCGTTGATGGGCGTCACTTTCGCTAATGTAAAGGATTGCCGCATTTAAATATCGTTATAGCTCTATATTGTGCTGTGCTGTGCTCTATTTAGTTAACACACTCCTAAGATTATAAGATAATACATGCTGCATGGCTGTCTTTTTTCTGCAGTGCGGCTGCTAAAAGAATCCTTTGTATTAGTTCATAATCAAAAATTTCTTTATTTAAACTGGCAGCATATAACAACTCTTTTGAATCGTCCATATTTTTTCCGCTACCAAACCGTTCAGGACATTTTGTAGTTGTGTAGAAAAGCGGGCAAAAAAAACTTCACGGCGTTAAATTATCTACAAAATATTATATTGTTACAGTGTCAATATAAAATCATGTCATCTAAAGATGACAGGATGATAATTATGTTAGCATCCTGTCTTCTTGACGACATGACCTATAATTGTATTATGATAAATCATAATTAAATTATACAAACTGCCTGTCGGAACGTTTGTTTAAACCCAAGCATTTTTGTCTGAAATATAATCTCCTTATAATTGGTATTTTTAGTAAGAACTTTTTTAATAGTGGTTTTAAAGGACATGGTAAAGCTTTGTATGAGCGACTGCCCTGGCAATGTATAAATACTATACTTAGTAATATTTAATGTTAAATGGCTGAATATTTATAATTTCTATAAAAAACTTACTACAGTTGATAAAAGATGTTGCAATTATTTACAGTCATCAATTTCGCATTTTCTTAAAATCTTTCTTCCCATTCCTCTGATTATCTCCACAAAGTTTTTTTAAAGCAAAAATAAATACTAGTAATTGTTTATCGTCGGCCTGACAGGAAATCTGTGAAGGTTTATTTTATCCATTTGCAAAAATTAAAAGATTATTTATCATACAGCCTTGTCTCAAGCCTGATCAGAATAATAAAATCTATTATTTAAGGCCTTCAGTGATTTGTTATAATAAAAATTAGGACCAAATATGTCATAGTTTGAAGGAGTTTAGAAATAATATTGTTTATTTCAATATACTTAACAAATATTTTTTGTGTACATTTATTGTTCATTTATTTTGTGTAACGGAACATTTTGCTTTTGAAACGGACATGAAGTCAATTTTTATACTTTTAAATATTTGATAATTTCACGAAAGTTGTATCATAATTATAAACACATAATAATTAATAAAAAAAAAAATGTAAAGTTACGGGCTAGTGCGAAATATTTATACACGTTAAGGGCAGTTTCTTAGTCATGTCCTTTATTGACGGTGAAATGTTAGATATAGCTTGGGATTTTGTTGTACGGGACGTTCTACATTATATAGGCTGCAGAGCTAAGCCTCTTTGGCAATTTCTCAATATGTAATGCCTAAGAATACTATAATGCCCGCAAGGTCAAAAGTTTCTTAAGATAACAAGGTAAAATACTCTTTCGTCGTATGTTTAAAAAAAAAGGTATCGGAAAAATAAAATGTATTCTGACAATCTAATGAACTGATATGACCTACGTCACGAAACAATTCTTTCAGTGGTTGCACTTTAACACGAGCATAGCACAGCTCAACATTGATAGGTCAGGTCAACCAAGAAATGTTGTCCGTCAGTGCTTAAGCGTCATCTGCGCGTTGTTTTATGCGTTAAACAAACTGTTCAACGCATTGCCGTTGGCGCAAAATATTAAGTGCCTGTAAAGTAATAAGTATGTATTCTTTTTCACATTGAGCATACCCGGTAATTGTAGCCTCAGACAAGAATGCATACGCATCATTCAAGGCTTACACCAGCTATTTGCTTAGTGATATGTAGGGTACCTCCCCTTGTCTGATAAGCATTCGTTGATCGCTAACAGCTCAAACAGACGGCAAGTGGATGATTGACCGATTGAAATGACAATCTTAAGTACATGAGTATTTTCTACCATTACATTTCGTTTCCACAAAAACGGATCTGTACGGAGCTAAGCAGTCTTAAAGAAATTGTCCAATAGCATTGCTCAAAATACAGACAATGTATTTTCAGCAATGCTATTGGTCAAAATACACACAATCTATTTTGAACAATGCTATTGGTAAATTTCTTTGAGACTGTCCAGCTCCGCGCAGACCCGTTTCTGTGGAAACGAAAACTTACTTTTTTCTTTTCCGTTTATACTAACTAGAAACGATTATCGAGTTTTTTAACGTATGCATAAGTTTGCATAGATGCGCCTTAACCTAAGGCGTGCGCGAGTTGATATCTCTCGCTTTCTCTCTTCTGTGTCTTTTCTATCCTACTGTCCCTCAAGTCACCTCTTGGGGTTACCAAGAGAATCGGTGGGACCCAAAATCAAATAAAAGTATATGAATAAATTGAAATTTTGGTGTGCCCTTTATATATGTTACGTGCAGATTATAGTGTTCTTACATTAGATAACGCCTTGTGATCGATCCGTCCTTTATTTATTTTTGTATTATTGTAACTCGAATAATTCCGAGAGAGCTTTGTATTTTTTAGGATGAATTGTATTTTTTATTATATTTTACATAGTTGTAAAATTTTGGCTGATTGGTGAAATACTTATGTAACAGTAATATATCCATTATTTTTATTAAAATTGTTTTTTTGTGATTAATAAAACAAGATAAAATTAGATAATCTCAATATTATTAGTGAGTGGGAGACTAAAATAGTGTGCTTTGAAGTTCTAGCATTACTGAGATAAATGACTGAGGTATTCTATGTACCTACCTACTACTTTGTGGTCTTTAGTAAAAATATCAAGTCTGAAGGCTGTTCGTAAAGTGGTCATTACAGACTTAAGAGTTAATTCATACTAGCGCAGAGTCGAAGCACATCGAAGTGAATTTCAGAAACAGTATCATAGCAAATTCATCCTTATCTCCGCAATGTAATACACATTCCTTCTGAGCTTATAATCAGCGGCACCTAACATGCTTCACTAAACTTAAAATAAAATTTGATAACAGTGTATCCTTGTCATTCTCCATACTGAATGAAAAGGAGGGACTGATGTTAAATTTAGTTTTAAGTTTAGAAAATCATACCAATGCCAATCGACACCCGTAATATCGTGTGACTGGGTGAGGAAACCTTGAACCCAAAAAAAGCTTGCTGGTAGAGTGCGTCTCTCCTTTGAGGACCGACGAAAGTTAAGAAAAGTCGAAGCATCGGTAGACAAGTGGTTGTTTCTTTTTACGGCAAATTAAGACCACTATAAAAAAATAGACAGTATCACTTGCTAATTAAAGGAGACACTTGCAGCTTGTCCAGAGTCTAAGAAAGATTTCGCGAAAAGTGTCCTCGAAGCAATGTCCTGCTTTACCATGATAATGTATACTCACATTTCGCAAAGAGAACGGATGCTTAATTGAGTCTTTAAATATGAATCCGTCTTACAGTACATCATAGAGACTGCTTTTTGTTTCCAAAAATTAAAGACAAAATTAGATGCACGCGTTTTACGATCCCTGAATATATATAGTGAATGTGAATGCTTTCCATGAAGCCACTGAAGAGGTCCCAGAAAGACTATAGCTTAACTGCTTTGTATAATGGTTGCAGCGATTGCAAAAATGTTAGGAAATAAGTATACTTTAAAAAACAATAAATGTAGTGTAAGTCATATCTCGTCTTATTTATCAGCATAAATATAGAAACTCAGTAGTACAACTAAATACTGCACTGGAATGGGAATAAAGAGAGAGAGAAAAAAAATGATTGGCTGACAGAGAAGATTAAGGAATCGACGTTGTAAAATCTGTGATCCTAATCTTAAATTGGAAGAAGTAGCAATGGGGCGACTATGTCGTTAGAAGGCGAGATTCGTAATGTATAGAAAGAAAGAGAGAAATGTCCCTAAAGAAGACCAAATATGTTTTGTAAAGCGATATCAAAAGAAAGGTGGAGTGAATGAGATCATTACTAGGTCAGCAAATCAACTCAAAATCAACAGTATAATGATCTAATAAGCTTTTTAATTAATATACTGTTTAAAGCATCAAAATCAGTACGTAGCGATTTTATTACTCTTTTTATGGTAGCCAATATTCACCGGCAGCCGAAAAGCGTGACGTCACAGTGCTCGATCGTGGTTCACACAGGTCGAACTTCAGTAGCGTCTCTACGCACGCTCGCGCCCGAGCGCTTGAGCTCTGTGAAGTCACAGTCACCATGAGGCCAGCCGAAAATTCGTTTAGTACCTAATTTGGTCATAATTTCGTTAATATTTGTCGTAGAACAAAAATTTAAACACTGTATTTTATGGAATCCTTAGCTCTATAAATCTGCATTTTCAACTTAAATATTTACGGATACACATTGGATAGAGTAAGCCCAAAACCGAGAAAAATGACACACAAGGAAGAAGGCCAACACTCAAAAAATACCTAAGAAGAAGATACGAATACTTAAACTTTTTTTTTGTATAATTAGGAGAAACTGGGAATACTTGTTCCTTACGGGAGACTAGGTACACGAGATTTTCAGAACTTGTATGAGTAATATTAAATTTTATAGTGCCAACATCGGTTGTATATGGTACCCGCTAACTTTCTAAAGTTGGTACACCTGTCAAATTTGACGCGTTTGTAAAAGGCGGACGACCGAGTGTTTGTTGTTGCATAGAGAAAATTTCCGTAAGTTTACATTTTGATTAAACATTAATGTAAATATGGTTTTTAGGTGTGTATGAATTTAATTCGAGTCATTATCTATATAAGTAGCGATTTGTAGCATAGAAAAGTGGTAATCTAATAGACATTTGAAAAATTCTTGTTTATAACCTTAAACTGCTCAGGGTACATTTAGATAAGGGAGATTTGATCCTCCCGGATCAAGTGTCCCTTAACTTTTATTTTTCAATTAATTTCAGATTACCGATATGCCCAGAGTATACTAAACAAGAGAAGGTGCCAGAAAAAGAGTACCAATCACAGAACACAGAAAGAGGTTAGAAGGGTGATGAGCGATCGCCAGTATCAGAACCGATGTCGCCGGCTCGTCCCCACTACACTTACACTTATTAGATAATAAGCCAATCAAACGACGCGACATCAAGCAACCGAACGAATCAGCGCTCACAGCCGTGACTGTGAGCGTTCATTCGTTCACACTGATTTTAGCGTTTGTGGTTGCACTAAGTCGATGAAATATTATCGATATTAAATATGCCAAGTACGAGTTGGACTTGATTGTATGGAATTTTATGTATCCTATCAAAGTCAGTAAAGATAAAGAAAATGATTTAACGTAAAACGCATTACTACAGATAGTTTTTTTATTGACCTTGAAACAATATATATTTATGAAAAAGGTGACCCTTTTTTCTTTTTTAAAGTTATTTTTCAAAAGAAATATAGACGTATATCTATATATTTTTCAATTACCTCTTTAATTGAATCTGTTACATGGTTAGATAATGGGAATTCACCCACTTGATGAAATGATATGTCATCAAATTATGAAGAGTCAATATTTTTTTTTATATTTTTGGGACTAATATTTCTTTTTTTCAAATTATCTGCATGTTGTCGTATTACAGTTTCTGCACTTTTGCATATTTTAATAACATCACCACGGACGGATATATCAGGCCACCTTTATCTTTTAACGAAATAAATTTATGTTAATTATTACTTGAATCTCATATTAGGGCTCCAGAGCAAATATTACATTTGATTTTTTTAATTTAGACAGGAACTACATTGCCTGCTATGTAGGCAATGACTTGTGTACTGAAATCAGTAAAATCTTCAGCTCTTTACATGCTCTTTCTACTGACTGTGTGGACAAGTTAATTCTCTCTATAGTCCAGTCAAAATAGACAAAAATAAGTCATAACTTAGAGATAATTCGCATTGAGCTGAAAATTGGCAGAGACGTTAAATACATCATTATAAATAAAATGTCCAAAATCCCCTTCGATCCTACTTCTACAAAAAAAACAACTAAAACAAAATTATGGTTTTTTCCATTTTTCTTGAAAACGGTAACTTTTTTCGTGAAAGTAGGTCAGACAAAAGTTGTAGACCATAGAATTCTCTACAAAAATGGTCTAGTCACTTTTTCCCTCACGACTCACCATTCGTGAAATATCGCGGTTTTAAAATTAGAAAAATCATGTTTTACACACATTTCTGCACCACCTATGAGGTAATGTACTTGGCAGATTTTTTCAAAGTGGTTTCCCCAGTAGGTATACTGCACGATGTATTATAATAAAGAAAGTTGGATCAGATCGTTTCCTATTGATTGATAGAATGGTTATATTGCTAATGATCAAAGTGAGATAATGATGTATTTAACGTCTCTGCCAATTTTCAGCTCTGTCTATTTTGACTGGACTATAAACAAACTCTTCAGCTTTATATTTATATTGTACTAGCTGTGCCCTGCTGTGTTACCTGCGGTTTATTAGGGATGTTTTCCCGCAGTAAAACGTAGCCCATGTGTTAATCCAGGGTGTCAGCTAACTCCATACCAAATTTTATTAAAATCGCTCCAGCCGTTTAGACGTGAAGAAGTAACAAACATACACACACAAACGCCTTTATAATATTAAGTATGATAAACATTTAGAATCAGTTTTTATTTATTTCTAAAAGTTACTTTAATTCCATTATTAGGTGCTAAAATTCAGTCGATAAAATCTATATAAAATGTAAAATGTACGACGCAAGACACCACTAAAGTAGGTGCAATGACCTTGTACTGCGTGCGGCCACGTGCAGCGCTCTGTGATCCACGCGTCATTCTTGCTTGATCGTACTACATTTCGTGTTTTGAATATCGTAGAAAAAATAGCGAGCGTACTTTGTCAGCAATGAATATTTTTGTAGAAATATATATGTGATTTATCGTTTAATTAATATTTCTCGATTTTTTGCTAAAATATCAGTCTAACTAAGAAGTTTTATACTTACCGATGAAAAGAAATTCCTACTTTAGGTACCTAGATTTGATGATTGACACCTTACTTTGCAAGTAATTACGGCACACGAAGGCATATTTTAAGCGGTAATCACAATACTCTTTCACTGAGCGTTCGCGAGCAACTAAACGACGCGATCGGACGTTACGGTCAAGTTATGAGCATTTGCTCATAACTGTGACGCGCCTGCCCCGCCCACAAGGCCATTCTAACCTCTTTCTGTGTTCTGTGGTACCAATCGATGAAGGAAAATTGCGATCGGCAGTGGACGATGTCATCGCCAGTGCGAGTATTCGTGGTACTGCAAAAGGGTACGGGTTAGCCGTTATGACACTGAAAAGGTACGTGAGGAAGAGGAAAGGTACTACTACAACTGATGAAATTGATTACACTCGAAATTATCGTCACTCACAATTTTTTTTAACTATGGAGGAGAGTGAACTTGTCAATTACTTAATGATGCCCAATAAATTGTATCATGGATTAACACCTAAGTATGTACGACAATTGGCATTTCAATATGCTATTGAAAATAAAAAGGAACTTCCGCTAAAATGGTCCGAAAATGAAGAAGCAACCTAAGATTGGATTTATGGGTTTATGCACCGACACAAAGAACTATCACTCAGAGTTCCCGAAGCCACAAGCTTGTCTCGCGCCACGGCGTTTAACAGACACAACGTTAACAATTTTTTTCAA